GAGATGAAAAGCAGATATATATATATATATATATATATATATATATATATATATGGCCCTGCCACATCACGAATCATTTGCAGCGTTACAATGGATGTGAAAAGAAAGGCCAGTATTTGTGAACGAGGATGAGAAGCGGTGAATGCGACTCGAACCACCCAGGGGGGGGATGCATGAGATTACGTAAGCACGAAGATCACAGTGCACATTTCACACCCACACAAAGCAAAAAGTGAGGTGGAAGTTTGAGGAAATTATCAGTTTAACATATTATGACATACTGAATTATTAGAGGTTAAGTGGTCAAGAGACACGTTAAAAAACCGAGATTGTTTTAAATTTTGCTCTGATTGTGTAAGCCTATGGGTAAAGTTTTGGTAGCGAAGATTATTAAATAGAAATTATAGCGGTGATTGAACGACTGCAATCATCTGCACCTCAGTCCAGAAGTCATATTGTCAGCCCCCCACCCACCACCACCATGACTGCATAGAGTTCCCATTTGCTTGTACTCCTGCACGATACAGGTCGATTATCTTACTATCATTCGATTCATATTTTCCAATCACTATTCTACACTGTTTAATAGCAGCCCTCAATTGAGTATAGCTCGTCTCCTGAATGCTGGTTGTAGACGTGTAGTACATCAAATAAAGAACAGTAAAATCTTATATTTATTAGATTGTTAATAAGTTTTGAATACGACCCCGTGCAACCAACAAGAATCGTTTTCAGTGATTCGTCTTTTCTGGGTTATGCATTACAGTTTGCTCAGTTGGGCAAAGTAATCAAGTTAACTCCTATATATTAGCTAAAGAAGATAAAACAATGAAAGCAAGTCTTGATTGTCACATTGTTTCCTTCAAAATGTAAGCTGTTAATCTAATTGGATAATTGAAACAAATGACGAAGCCAATCGTTTTCTCAAATCGATAATCCCGTGCTTCAAAATCATCACAAGTCACCCGAAAACAATGATCGAGTCTGATCTCATATATGCTGACACATGAGTTTTAAGGTTCCTGAACAAGAAATCACTTCTTGATAGCTATTATATCTACGTTCAGTTATCATCAAATATGTGAAAACTAAGCAGAGATACCTGAATTTCATCCCGGAACGTGCATATCATAGTCCTACCAACCCCAAGATGTTAGTACTTTTACGATGTTCAAAACACACCCAATTATAAAGAAAATACTTCAATGCACGTGTTTCTAATTATTTGGATACACGTATGATGGAACCGAAAAGTTGGCTTATAATGAGTGAGGCATGCAAAAGGAAATAGCCGGTGTTACGCAAAGATTGCATACACATGCTATTGGCGGTATGTGAAGAGAGTTGGGGTGCGAAGTCATCTATTTTTTGATAGATTTGTCAGTTTTTACCAGTTTTTTTGTTTATTGTCTTACCGTCAACGATTTGATCCGATCGTGAAAACCCAATCGCGTTTCGATTTCTAATGGCTTGAACGGAATTATCGAAATTTCCATGGATCTCAGTCGGTTTGTGTAGATTTGAACTACCGTGTGACAATCCCAAACAGCCAAACAAAATTCGGGTACCGACCTTGAGTGTCTTTGCTGACCAATGATGCGTGCACCCACATCCTAATGGCGCATCACGTGATGCGTATTCGTATATTAGATTACCGCGCAGGTTTACACTGAGAAAAAGAGTAAGTCGGCTTCAGACTTGTGAATCTGAAAACGGCCTGTCTGGCACATATCACTCTCATTTGTTGAACTGAATAATCTGATTGCCAGATATTGGTCAAAAACAGGCATTCTTAGCGAAATAATCACACTGTTCATGATCTCACCCAACCTGCATGGTTTCAGTCACGGTAAACGTTATCCGTAAGATCTTTGCATATTCAAAATCTAACTGTCCCTATGCAAACTTCATCGGCCTTTTCTTTGACTGCCAACAAATTCCCTTCCTTAAAAGTGAACGTACGGGTGTTGAGTGTGAAATGAAGAGGAACAAAGTTTTGCTTTATTCTCACATTTGCAATGACTTATTTCCCATGTGCAACTTTAATTGGGCTTCATTTTAATTGCCACCGGCAGTAATACGTTTTCCACGCATCTCCCGGTTATCTGCCGCCCACGGCAACCATCCTCGCCCACCGGGCACAGAAATAAAAACAAAAATGAGAGAGTTATAGGAAATTAAGTTTGGAAGAAAAAAAGTGAAACGCACGTTTGGTACATCAACACAGTGCGCGTATATGGATGATTTTGTGGAGCGTAGACATGCACACATGCGCAGATAAGCGTGCTTTCTCAAGCATCAGAAACGGATATAAATATGAAATGAATATATGTATATATGGGTGACCGTAAAGAACGCAAACAAGGCAACGTGTGTGTAACACTTAATTACAGCGTTGTCTCAGTGTGCCCCGACCGTCGTAGCTTGATCCAACTGAAATAAAATAGGATGAATCAACTGAAACTGTCCTCGTGATTGTACGATCAATTTGTCTGTTGAGTTTGTTGTCCGAATCGGTGTGAAAATAAAGACGGAAGTTACCAACAAAACGATGGTCATTAACACAGAGTAACTACTTCGGTCCGATGTCACATGTAAAACTCTTTACAGAATCTCATCTAGTGGAATTTGAAACAGTTGCATGTAATCAACGCATTAAAACGTAACTCTATCATAGGATACGGAACATGAAGTTTCATGACGAACGAACACCCTACTATAATTTATCGCTTGGGAGCAAAGCATGCTTCAGCGACCATGAGAGTTCAATCAACTGAGAAGTGGTTTTAGTTCGTGAATAAAATTTTTAGCTCGGACGTGTTTTTTCTACCGATAAATGAGAATTAAGTTGATGTTATACATATGTCGGGTAGTTATTATCGGTCACTCATTTGGGTTTCAACATGTACGCTGCAAAACCTGCAACTACCACCTAACTTAAGTGGAAGGCAGCCTCGTCAACAACAGCCTTTTTGCAGTTTTCTACTCTAAAGCGCAGATCATTATCTAGTTGAATGAGCTCTGGGCACATAATAATTCAGTCAAATCATGCATTTGCCCGGAACTATCTGATAACGTTACGATTCAGTGCAGAAGTTGAGTGAAAAATATGAGACAATCAGAGAAAGTGTTTTGGAACATGTTAAAAATGTCTACATCTCAATACACGGCTTCCAAATGTAAAGGTTCGTCATGCAATGATGATCGCCGATGGACGTGGTCATTGGCAAAGGAGTGTTGCTCCGATTGATACGCATCCAAGCTTTATCGAAAGCATAGTGTTTCTAATGTTTGAGGTAAAATCCTAATGGTGCTGTACACGCATCGTACTCAGACTCGATTCCGCTATCATATGTAACTAATGGCATTCCGCACACCATTCAGGATACCAGATAGTAGAATTTATAGCCGATCTCTAAAACTGACATACAGTTGATACAATTTTTCAATAATGAATATGAATGACTCACCCTCGGCGGTGTAGATTGTATCGACAAACCATTTGAATATGCCAGCAGTGATACGGGTCAATAATTCCTGTGATCAATAAAGCATTAGTGGTGGTAATTTTGAGGCAGAGGGAAGTTTTGTTACCAGGAAAATCATATTGACAAACTGTTTCTAAGAATTAAACTTTGTGGTCCACTAAACGGTTGATCGTTGTGAGTTATTTTGATCATCTTATGTTTGGTCACTTGTAATTTACTGGATTCAGTCGGCCATCAACTCCGAATTAGATAATGGCCCCAACTAAGGTGATAGTGGTTGATCTACTTACTCGAAATGCACTTCGGTGGCTTTGGACTGACGTGGACAATATGATATCATTTGTGTTAGTTAGTTAGTTAACTTAACACTACAAGGTCACACCAGCTGATAGTGGGCGAATCATTACACACACAAACACACACTGTTCTCCATCCATAGCCATCTCTCACAGCCACAGATTAATGATCAGCATACTAGCTAGTGTTCAACGTTTTACCCTGACCGCGAGCATGCCATCTGAGTAGAACTGTGGGAGTATTCAAACGTTATCATACTCTTATTAATGAGGTTTGGAATACTGTGATCTTGCAATCATTTGTACTGCATCGTTCGAAAACGCATTGTAATTTGTGGAATACGGATATCTTTTCTAACACCAAATTAGTCTAGTTAGACCATTAAATCAGTCATACAACTGTTATACACAGATAATTGCACGACCAGAGTTGAGCACGCATGTTCTGCCCTTGAACAAATCCCCTGGTGGTATTCCCGTCAGAAGTGTCTATCCGATAGGAACAACGAATGTACCGAGCATTGTCCACATTAGGTAAGTACCGTTTCCATCATCATACTACTACACTGTGGGCCATGAACTCACAATGTTCACACACTCCCGAGGTTTGCATTTCTCCCCAACCAGCAGAGCGCCGTAGACGGCCAGCACTTTATGGTCCTCATCCGAATACCGGCCAATCAGAGATAGTTCTCCGGCTTCAGTACTGGCGTTGAGAGCGTTCCCACCGAGTCCAGCTATACCCCGGCTGCTTGATGCATTCTGCAATAGGAGAAATAGGTTGCAAAAGGAAGACTTCAATCCGCTGTTTATGCATTTGAAGTACCGAAGGGATATCTTTTGATGCATAAGTTAAGACAAAATGAAAATTTGATTGCTTATATTGATATAATTTTCATTTGACAATTATATTTTCTACAAAACATGTGCCACATAAGCGCTCTGTTGCTACAGGTGTTAGGAGTTTAGTCAATAATCGTTCAAAGATTAAAAGAAGAACGAAATCATTGGAACTAATATAGCTTGGTCAGTCGAAGATTTCTCACGGATTAAATCAACGGAAAGAGAAACGTCTCGCTCCAAATATGGTCAAACCCACCGCTTGAGATGTTGTAAACTCCGGGTGCGTTGAGCCGGTTAATCCGAGACCGGCAGGACCTACTCCTCCACCGGGGCCGGTTGAGCCAAGTCCTCCGGGAACAGTTGCACCACCACCAACCATACTCAATCCGGTAGCGGTCGCGGAGGTGCTCACTCCAAGTAAAATCATATCGCCGCCAGCGGGAGGACCGCCAGGAGGATTGGAACCTGTACACGTCAAACCGGCAACTGCACGGTCATCAGATGCATCTCCACCGCCGAGAAGGACCTGACGCCAACGAGGCATCGTCTCACGGGTTAGCGAGACCACCGCCTCAACCATGCACGATTGTAAATCCAAAGCCATGTCCCAGACTTCAGGCACTGGCATCTAAAGATTAAATCGAGCGAATGGTTTTTAATAGACAGAAAATGAAATAAATAAAAAAATCAATCAAC